CTGAGGAAACTCAGGTTTGTCGGCTTAAGTAGCGATGTGTCTAGAGGCCCTTAGGTTTTGTGGGGCAGATCTGGAACTTGAACGGAGTTTGCTGTCTCAGTTTGGCAGCTCCTCAGATCCTGCCACTCAGAAGGGTGTTGGTGTCATTGATGCATGTGTCTTCATGAGGGAGAGTGGAGACATGGCATGGAGGGAAGGCGGGAGATGCAGGGTGCGGAAGAGTAGAGACCCCTGGTGTTGAGTGCCACCAGGACGCTGTCTGCAGTGGGTTGACCCTTCCTGGCTGCGGGCCCTTCCACCAGGCGCCCAGTTGAACCCTCATGTATCATTTCAGGAAGCTACTTTGCCCGCGATGCTGCGTATTCTCACCACTACAGCAAATCTGACACGCAGACCCATACGATGTTCCTGGCCCGGGTGCTGGTGGGCGAGTTCGTCAGGGGCAATGCCTCCTTTGTCCGCCCCCCAAACAAGGAGGGTCAGAGCAATGCCTTCTACGATAGCTGCGTGAACAGCGTATCCGACCCCTCTATCTTCGTGATCTTTGAGAAGCACCAGGTCTACCCAGAGTATCTCATCCAGTACACCACCTCCTCCAAGTCCTCGGTCACGCCCTCCATCCTGATGGCCTTGGGTTCCCTGTTCAGCAACCGGCAGTGAGCGCACCGGAGTGTTCTGGGCCTTTCGCCTGCTCTGCCTTGAAATGGTTGTTTGGGCCTTTGTTTTTCTTTTTAAACAGGGAACTTTTAATGAACTATTCGTTTAACATTGACTTCTCAATGAAGTTACGTTCTTAATCTCTTGCTAATAATGATTTTTACTTTTAAGTCACTTTTGGGCTCACTAGTGGACTAACCAGAAGTGATTGTAGTCGAGTCCAGTTTTGATTTTTAATAATGTTGTTGAAGTTTTATTTTTTACTCTTTGTTGACTTTGCTGATTATTGGCACCAGGCAGAGTTTCTAGACACAAATTTTATGGATTCGTTTTAATTTTAAGAATGTGTGTCTGCAATGATTCAGATTGTCAGTGTCATGGCATCTTAGTTTTACTTTTTATCAGAATGACATAGTAGCCACCAGTGGAGGACAGTCAGGAGCAGCACAGTCACTTCTGCCTGTTGCTCTGGCACCAACCCAGGCAGCTCTGCTGTGGCTTCTCCTGGGCATTAGTTGGCCTATGTCACATTGTCAGAACAGGTGGCTGCTGTGTGGTGCCATCGAGTCCCTGCTAGTTCCCCTTCTCCTGGAAGGGTCACCTGTTGCCCAAGGAAGCCCATCTACCTGGCAGGTGACCTGGAGGAGTAGCTTCCCCGAGGACCCTTAGGCTTGGCCTGTGAGTGTCCAAATCCACGACTCCTAAGCACCCTGGACACCCTCCAAGTGTGGGTTTTAACATCCCTGTGAGATTGAATACCTGTGCCACAAATGTCACAAAGAGTATGGAAATAAAAGAATATTTATCTGCAGTGGATGAAGACTGAAGCTCATTTTTCTGTGTCTGTTGAGCACCTGCTGGGTGCCAGGCGTTTTTCTGAGAGTCAGGGATTGCCTTTGTTCATTTGGGCTGCTATAACAAAACACCATTGACTGGTGGCTCATAAACAGCAGATGTTTATCTCCCAGGTTTAGAGCCAGAAAGTCCAACCTCCTGTTTCCACATAGATTCAGTGTCTTCCCACTGTAACCCCACACGGTGGAAGGGCCTCTTTTAGAAGGCACTGAATTCTATTTGTGAGGGTTCTGGCCTGATAGTCTAATCACCCCTACTTTAAATATCACCTCAGGGGTGAGGATTTCAACATTGGAATTTTGGGGGTGACAGGGCTCTCGTCACTGGGTGTGGTGAGCTATGTGTGGATTTATTGTGAACACAATGAAGTTGAAGGTTCAGGGCCCCTCACTTGCTGGAGCCCCTCCCCAGGCTCCAGCAGTGTGGTCACATGGTTGTAGGTTTTGACATTTGCAAATGTTACATATCTTTATTCTCTTTCCTTCAGTTCATACGTTTCAGGCCCCATAAGACCCAGGTTCACCACTGAGCAGTGTGCTGTACGTGTGGGGAGTGTGGTGTATGTTCCCCACACGTGCCAGTTGACAAGAGCCTCCCTTACTGGGCATCGGCTGGTTCTGGTCCTGCTGGCAGAGGGGCTGGCAGGGCCGCTGGTGTCACTAGGCTGTCAGCCCTCCCGGCTCGGTCCTCACTGCCTGCTTCTTGCCCAGCCTCCACTTTCCTGCGGACATGTGCCCACTGGTGACTTGCTGCTCAGGCTTCAGTTGGCTTGCCTGTATTTCTCAGGTCCAAGGTGAGTGAATCCATTTTTCCATCTTTGGAGTGATCTGAAATCTTACACAGGCAAGTGCAATCAGGCCGGAGGAGAGCCAATTTAAATGACCAGAGAAACAGCAAAGACAACACAGCTTCACCCACCAGCTGGGTCGGCCACATGGTTGCCTGTGGTGTGATTTTCAGACCCCCTCCAAATTTCCCTCACAGCCTGACTGATCCTGTCATTTCACTCATTGCTTCCTCATTAAGTCATTGGTCCTGCTATGGTGCAGTTGGGCAGGGGGCAAAAGGATGTCAGAGAAAACCATTAAATCAGTTGCATGTCTGTCATTAAGGTCTCACATGTAAGTGAACTGTTTCTATGCTTCCGAACCATCTGGGAGCTGGGGAGACTTGGGGAACAGAACTCATTTATTGGGGGTGTAGATGGGGAGAGTGGCCAGAAGGATCCAGTGGGAGGTGCTCAAATGCTCCAGAAAAGTCCACTGAGCTGTAAAGACTGTGGCAGCCATGAATGGATGACCTGGGAGAAAGCAGGTTAGGAAGAGCAACTCCTTAACACCAGCAGTTCTAGGGAGAGTGGGAGCCACGTGGCCAGATTGCCTGATGATGGGGATGGGGCTGTTCCTGCCAGTGCAGAAGGGGTGGGCGCTGTAATGGGAAGGGGTTGAAATGACCATGACTCTCCAGATGTTTGGTGCCAGGAGGTGGTAGGGTCCGGGACATGGGTGTGCATGTGTGGGATTGGCCAGAATTTTGGTGAGGACCTGTAACTGGGTATTCCAGGTTCTTGGCCTCCCCTGCCCCGGGAATCGGGGAAGAGGCCTGGAGGTGCGGTGGGCTCGTTCAAGTAAATAATCAGACCCAAAGAGTTTTGCAGAAAAGCACTTTATTAGGCAGAGAGAGAGAGAGACAGAGAGACAGAGAGCGAGAGCGCGCATGCTCCCACGCTGTCGTGGGAGGGGATCCAGAGATGGAGTCTGCACAGGTGAGGGCAGGGAAACTTTTAATCTGGGAGTTACTCCCGCCCCATTCAAGTTCATCTCATGAGAGGAGTTCCTTCAAACTTCCGCTGGAGGGAGTGATCTTTGACTTTGATATCAGATTGGCTGCCAGGCTCAGTCCTCCCATAGCTTTTCGTGGGCTTTTTAAACAAAGGGAGCTCACCTGGGCAGTCTACCTTTCCCACACTCGTGAAAGTTAGACAAAGGACTCTAGGCTCCCGGATGGAGACGTGAAAGAAGGCAGGTTGGGCATGTTGCTGGGAAATTTCTGCTTATGAAACCATGCCCCTTGTGGACCTGGGAAGAGAAGTTAATACAGTCCCTCAGACCCAGCTGGGAATCAAGCAAGGTTTTTTTGGAGGACCAGGCAATGCAGTTCCCTGCCCTGTGATAGCTGGTGTTGGACATGAACAGTGGCATTTAAGCATAGGTGGGGTTGGTGGGTTCACACAGTAGAATAGGACCGGAGTCCAGTGACCCCAGCACATGAGGAAGCCTCTACTACTATGTCTGAAGGTGGTGACCACCTGAGCTGGGAAGGTGAGGGAAGCCAGATGGAGCTGATGGGCTGGGGGCGAGGGCAGAGGGCCCAAGGATGGGCTTAGGTTGTGGGGCTGTGCTCCAAGCAGGGAGCTGAGTGCTCCATTGGGCCTGTCTGCAGGCTGAGGTTCTATGGTGGCAGTGGCCATGGGAGGTCAGGGATTGTGGGACAGGCAGGGAATCAGACAGCTCCCCAGGAGCGGATAGTTTTCTCCAGGGAGTGAGTCCCAGGCTGAGCATTGCAGAGGGGCCAGGTGATGGAGAAGGGCAGGTGGTGGCTACAAGGGTGTGAGGAGGGCCACAGGACAGCCCTGCACTTCGAGGAGGAGAGGCAGTCAAGGCCTGGCCCAGTGGGGGCTTGGGGCTGAGGGGATGGGGAGGACCAAACAGTGGAGGCAGTGTTCTGAGCAGTGAATATGTGGAAATGCAGCCAGCTCTCCTACAATGGCCTGAAGTTTCTAAAGGTGGGTTGCCAGAGTCTGGGTGTCACCTTAAAGGGCTTATGGATTTCTACAAGATCATTCTGTATACAACATTCAGCCCCTTACAGCTGCTCAGGTGTCAACTAGAAGAGGAAGAGGTCTTTGATCGAGGCCAGCCTCCTTATTTTACAGAAGAGGCCCCTGAGGCACAGGGAGGTGAGGCTGTTCTTCCCCAGCAACCGCGAGTGCACAGCCTCTGGTGGCAGAGCTTGAGATTCACCTTGCAAGTGCTTCGTTGAATGCGAGCTGCTTAGCAATACAGTAATTACTTTTACAAAAAATTCCCTCTATATTTTGATTCTTTGATCAAAATGAAGATATGGTGTTCTTAAAAAGTATATCATTTTTCAGACTCATTTTTCTGTCGATTGAAACTTGACTATAAAGTTGGTACTACCCTACCTAGGAAAATCAAAGCATAATAAAGCTTTGAAGCCACTTTTGAGGTTAAACTTCTGACAAATGTCATTCCTTAAAACTCCACATTACACGAGAAGCTGGAAGAGCCACTAGCTGGTGCCATCTGGACAGGCTTACCTGGGTGTCCTCCTGTGCCCTGCGCCATAGATTCCTTTCAGCATGAGCCTGAGACTTCCTTTAAAACCTCACATTCTTGGTTATTTTGTCAAAACTACATTTTCACTTATCAGCAATCCTTCATTTAGAGAGTCAGTGCAAACCCCACTGGCAATGTCAAAACCAAGTGCAACAAACGTTTATTAAGCATTTAGGGAATGTTACAGAGATAACTTCTTTTATCCTTGCAGGCCAGGACTCTTTCAATCACTTCAGTGACATTTTCCCAAAAATCTGAATTTTCACACTCAGGACTTATTTTGAATTTGGGGGTACCCTCCTTCCCCTGGTGGCCGTCTGTGTCAGCGGGGTACAATCTTGATATAGACACCATTTTTTGGACCTAGAGCAGATGTGGATTCTAGCTGCAGTGGCACCTAAAATAGAGAAAATTAAAATACTTGTCAGAGATAGTAGCGCCTCACTGTACTAATGAAGACTTGGAGGTTCAGGAAGGCCAAGTCCCTTGTCCAAGTTCACACAAGAAGAAAGCAGAGAGCAAAGCCCCAAACCTATCTTCCAGTGACTCTAGCCATCCCTGCTGATCCTCATCTCACTCCCCAGTCCTGGCCAGTAACTGAGCAATGCCCTCTGGCCGAGGGGCTTTGGGGAGAGCAGCTTCATTCTGTTCCGCTCATGCATGCTGTGGTCTGGCCTCACTGACATCCAGAAAGCTTTCTTATGTCCACCTTAAAAGGCAGAGCCGGTGGTGGACTGGGAGCTTCAAAGAAAAGCCAAAGGATTACTCAAGAAGTCGGGTTTCCTCTGGAGCTGTAAGTGAAATTATGACCCAATGGCTAATGCAAGCCTTCACAGCTGAGTCTCCAGGGTCTCAGTGGGCCTGCACTTGTCTCCTGTGGGAACCACAGCCCTCAAAGGCACCTGAAAAAGCTGCAGTTCCCAGCACGTGTCTGAGCAGACGTGGACCAATGGGGAGCCCTCTCGGAGTGGGAAGTTGGGGTGGGGAATGCAGAATGGGCTCAGCCTTGTCTCGAATTCGGAATGCATTCTCCCTGGATCCAGCAGGCTCTGGGACTCATGTCTGCTTCTTAAGTCGGGGAGTGCCAGGCGTTAAGTGTTCTAGGAGACTGGTCTGGCTGCTGTACTGTACGTCGAGATCATGGGGAAGGGAGTCAAGCCCCGCACATGTGTAAGTCCCGAGGCTGTGGGGCTGCTCCTCTGCCCCTTGACCTCACTTGGTTTGGCGGGTGCTGCCGACGTGCCCCTCCCTCTCTCCAGCCCAGAGTGTGTGGACGAGTTCATTTTCAGTACCTCAGACTGTTTCCTCCAACCAAGCTCATGATTCCTCCAGGACCAGCAGCCAGTCCCAGGTTCTCTGTCAGAGGCACTGCCTGTCTCAATCTAGAATTGTCGCTGTCCCTGTGTCCTTATGCTTTCCTATGCTCACCTCTCCAGGTCTGCAGCTGAACAGAGGGTTCTGGGTGGCAGGACCAGCATGATAGGTGCAGGGGACAGCAATGGTCAGGCTGGTCAGGGAATAGCCAACGCTGTGCAGAGATGCAGCTGGAAGTCAGGAAGGAGGGAGGACTTGGGAGTGAACAGGATCTGGGTCAGGACCTACGTTTCTTTAGTCTCTGGCTGCTCATCCATTTGTTCATTAATGTTTATTGACTGAATAAGTGAGTACCTGCCATGCGCATGGCATCAAGCTAGATGCTGGAAAGTCCAATAATGAATATGACAGGCTGGGTCCCTGCCATCACAAAGCCTGCAGTCTAACTGTGTGTCCTTAGGCAGGTTATTTAACCTCTCTGAGCTTTGGTTCTTCATCTGAAGAATGGGAATATTAACACCTACTCTGTAGGATTGCTGTCAGCGTGAGGTGGGGGGCATATAAGCTCCCGACCTATTGTGGAGGAACTGGTCTGCTGGTTCTGGAGTGTGTGATGGGTGGGGGAAACAGGGCTGGAAGGTGGGCGGGGCCGCATTTCAGGAGACCCCAGCCCTCTGGGTGAGGACAGGGTCTGTGCACCAGTTGAGGACCTCAGGAATGAAAGCCTGTGGTGTTGGGAAGAGTCTGTGTCGCCACCTGTGAGAGGGACCAGGCTGATGCCATGGGGACACGTGAGTGCAGGAGGGGGGAAGGCAAAGCTGGGGGCACCCCTCAAGGAGCTGAAACCCCTCAGCTTCCCCTCCAAGCACACAGCACCTTACTCGGTCAGGAGGGGCCAGAGGATGTGTCCCCAGCTTCTGCAGGACAAGCCATGCACCCCCCCACCCCCAAGATAGGCACATGTCACAACTGCAGAGGCCATTGTCTGTGTGCTCTTGGAAAGAGGGAAGAGCTACAGCCAGGTGAGGTCCAGCCCTGATGTGCAGAGAGCAATAATAATAATGATGGTCAGCACGTGCTCGGGTTAGTGCACCAGGGCTTAGCTGAGCACTGTGTGAACTCACTGAATCCTCACAGGATGTTGAGAGGCAGAGGGTATTACTATCATCCCTGATTTACAGATTAATAAACTGAGGCCAAGGGAGGTTAAGAAGCTCGCCCAAGCTCATGGAGGGAAGAGCTCTGGTGCAGAGAACTGGGTTGCCCCCACCCCGACCCTGACCCCGCTCCCGGGGCAGTGGGGCCTCACCTGGGTCTCAGGGCAGGCTTGGAACCGGAACTTGTGCAGCACGTGGAGCAGTGTCAGCTTGACTTCCAGCAGCCCCAGCCGCACCCCGAGGCAGCTGCGTGGGCCGGCCCCAAAGGGCAGGTACGTGAAGGGCCGGTGCTGCCGCCGGGCCTCAGCCGTAAACCTGCAGGTCCGTGTGGTCAGGGCTGGCTCAGAACACCCGCTCCCTCCCCTCTGCAGCCCTGTGCTCCAGCTGAGCCACCCCTGCATCTGAGTCAAGGATGTCCCGAAGGCTCTGGGAGCTGGTGGCTGCTCATTCCTGAGCCTCAGTCCCACTCTGCTCCTGTCCGCCTGTCTTCCTGCACAGCCCTGGCAGAGCTGAATTCACAGAATCACCTGCAATGTCCACAGCGCCCTCCCTGTCTCCTTAGGACTTCAGCGCATGGCTAATAAGCCCACAGACTTTCTACCACCCACAATTAGAGTCAAAACACAGCATCCCTGAACCACAGGGCTCGGCAATCACAGCCTTCACCTGGGCCCATGGCACCATCTCCCCTCCCACAGAATGACTCAGCCGACACCTGCTTACTTCTTTGGCAGGGTACCAGGCGCCTCTGCACCTCCCCAGCCCTCCCTGGGGACCATGTCCTGCTTGCTTGCCCTGCTGGTCCCTTGAGCCACACTGGCAGTGACTCCCCTGCCCACACTTGCTTGACAGGCCCCAGCACTGGACACTTGACCCATTGGGAGCTGCAGTACCTGGACGGCTGGAGGCCCTTCCTCAGAACTGCTAAATCTCTCACCAAATAGCGCATTTGCCTGCAGAGTGTGGCCCATGACAGTGAAGCTAGATGGCACTCACTCTTCTGTAAGAGCGAGCTCACTTCTTACTGCCTCTGGGCTTTATCGTGAGGCTGTAAGCCTTGTGGCTGCGGCGTGTTCAGGAGCTGCTGACTGGAATATTATCTGCATAGATCCCATTGCTCACACTTTCCCAGTGGCTGGGTTGTAGAGTTGGGCTGAGTTCAGTTGGAGCCATGAAAGGTGAAAACGCAACTAGTGCCGGCCCAGCCCTTCCCTTGCCAGATCTCACACACGGGGGATAGTGACTGGTTCTGATGAGGACCAGGGTGTGGCCGCCTGCTCAGATGTTTCCAACCACAGAGCCCAGAAGTGAAATGAGACAATGAACCGAAGCCAGTGTTGGAAGGAGGGGACCCGGGTCAACCAGTGGACCCCTTGAGTGTAGACACGGAGACACTGGCTGAAGCTGTGGTTTTGGCATAACTGCCTATTTTAAAAACAGGAAATGATGTTCTGTTACTTTCCAGTGCAGACCTTAAATACAATCCTGTACCCCATGTCCTGGCTTGAACGAATGGGAGACAATCATTTGAAACTGCCTTGTTCCTTGCATGCAGGGCTGCTGAAATGCTAAACCTCTGGATTCACTTTGGAACTTGAAACAATGGTATAATCATTTCCTTTGGAAATCATGCCTTGCAAACATCTCTGAATTCCCATAACTTTTGACTACTGGGGACAGTGTTGCTAAGTCTGTACCTCCCGGCTGCTGCCTCCACTGGTCAATTTTGACCCCACACACACACATCCCTTCAGAGCTTTTTAATGGGGGCAGCACTCACCGTTCAGGGTCGAAGGTCTCGGGGCTTGGCCAGTGCTCTGGGTCATGGTGCAGGGCACCCACGGCCACCTCCAGCACGGCGCCTGCGGGGATCTGCTGCCCCAGCACCTCACAGTCCTGAGCCGCTTCCCGTGTGAACCTGAGGGAAACACCAAATGCGATGAGCACGCGGAGTCTGAGTGTGAAGGAGAGCAGCGGCAGGCAGCACAGTGTGCGGAATGAGGCTGGGGGACAGACGACCCCCGGCTCAGCCCCCTTCCCAGGGTAACCAAGCCCCCACCCCATTAGCCCTCACTGCCTAGGAGCCTGCAGCCCCGAGGCTAGGCTCGCTTGGTCCTTGATGAAAATTCACTCATCCATCCCTTCATGAATCCATTTGTCAAGTACTCAGGGGCCCCTCTTGTGCCCTGTGTTGGGGTGCAAAGTGCTTTGGAAGGATTGCTTTCATAGTGGGGGCTTGGAGGGTCATTCCTGGGCCCAGCCCGTCCTATCTTCCCATCCACAGTCAATCCTCTTAAAACTGCCCTCACTCACCTGTCACTCCCTCTGCTCCTATTTCACTGCCTAGCCCTGCTGCCTGACATCTGTCCCCTCCCTCTCGTGGATGGTCCCCATGCCAAGATCCCCAAAGACCATTCATGGGCACGACTGATGAATACTCCTCAGTCGTCATCTGCCTTGGTTCGTCGGCATCATTGACTGTCTTCCTCCTGCATGTTCCGTTTTTTCTGTTTTCATTTGGAAATAATTCTGAACTTACAGAAAAGTTGAAGAACAGCACGTAAGGTACCCGTGTGTCCTTTACCCAGATTCACCTGCTGTTCATGCTGGGTCCTCCTCCTCCTCCTTCCTTTTTCTTCCTCCTCCTCTTCCTCTTTTTTTTTTTTTTTTCTTTGAGACAGGTCTTGCTCTGTTACCCAGACTAGAGTACTAGAGTGCAGTGGCGCAATCTCGGCTCACTGCAACCTCTGCCTCCCAGGTTAAAGTGACTTTCCTGCCTCAGCCTCCCTGGTAGCTGGGATTATAGGTGCCCACCACCGCGCCCAGCTAGTATTTGTATTTTTAATAGAGACAGGGTTTTATCATCGTGGCCAGGCTGGTCTCAAACTCCTGACCTTGTGATCCACTCGCCTTAGCCTCCCAAAGTCCTGGGATTACAGGTATGAACCACCGTGCCTGGCCTCTTTCCTTGATTTCTAATAACATTATTTGTGTGGGTTTCCTATTCCATCGCTGGCGCTCCTTCTCCCTCTCATTGGCAGGCTCTTCTGAATCCTCTTAAATCCTGGTGCTTCCCAGGGATTTTGTCCACACTCCCAGATTCGACTTCCATTATCTCCTAAGCCTCCTACCTCAGCCCCGGCCTGAACCCCACGTTCTATTTCTGCCCACAGACCCGGCCTCTCCCCTGGACAGTCCATAAGATCCTCGAAAGTTGGCCTGAGCAGCAGCAGATTATCAGAATCTTCTCCTCCTTCTGTTTCCCACACAGGCTTGAGCAAGCCAGAAACCGGAAGCCACCCTGGACTCCTCCCTCCTCTGTCTGCAGATTCATCAGAAGATGAATATGGTGCCATCTCCATGTTTTACTGCCTTTCAGGGTCCTCTTTAACTGAGATTCTCATCTCTCCTCGAGCTCTTTTCCAATCCAGTCTTCTCATGACAACCAGAGCCGTGTCTCTGACACATAGTTTTGTCTGCTTCTCCCCGAGGATGGCTGCGTAGGACAGGGCTGTGGAGCTGGGGCAAGTCCCAGGTGCTTGAGGCTCTGTGGCCCTAGAGCTGAGGCTGGAGTCACAGCAGTTAGTTGGTAAAACCTGTCGCTGAAAGTCAAAGGGAATCAACGGGTGAAGTGAGGCCATGAATTGGAGAAGGCAGCAGATCAGACACCAGGAAGACGGACAGTGACTTGCGATGCACAGCGAGAGGTAGTTTAGGACCTGGGTTTGAGACAAGGCCACGAGCAGGTCAGGGGTGTTGGAAGCTGCTGGCATTAATGCGGTCTCCAGGTTTGTCTGATCAAGCTGCATTCAGAGCTGAGCATCGGGCCGGTGTTCAGGGCTCCTGGTGCTGTGAGATCACACCCCAATCTGACTGCTGAAGCCCCTGTAGCTTCTGAAACATCTGACCCACCTTCCAGTCCCCCAGCTTGGGTCTCTTCCATGAGGTCTGCCTGTGAGAGCCATTCCCGGTTTCTGGGAGAGTTCTACATTCCTCACCTCACCCGTTTCTTAGAACGAACACCTGTGACTGCAGAAAACACCAGTGAATCTCTCTCTCTTGCAACGTGGAAACCTGGCATGGCTCTCTTAAGCTTGTACCTTGTTGATTACGGCCTCGCAGGACACCCTGGGAAACAAGTCTGCCTGGAACTACGCAACTCAACTCTTGGGCTGAGCCTTGAGACCACCTGTGTCAGGGACTTCCTTTCTGCTCCAGAAAACTCTTGCCAAGGAAGATAAGCCTCTGAACCAAGAAATAACTTCACTGTTGGCTTCAGGAAATGAATGCAAACCAATTTGTCTGGGCAAACCGCTTTCCTATCAGGGTAATGGTTCACTTGCTTGAGTAAACGGTTCACTTACCAGACAGCAGTCTTACCTGTCAGAACCCCCTTCAACTCACCTGCCTGTAACCCCTCGCTCCTAAATTGTTAAGTCACATGCCCAGTTTCAAACTCCAAACCTTCTAAGTGTCCTTTCCTGATCTGCTGGCTTTGCGTTCCTGTTAAACAAGGGTGCTGTCACCCTTGAGACCTATAGGTAACCTTCTAGAAACAAAATTCGAGGTGGAGAGCTGAAGAACTGGTCTCTTCCTGAACTGGAGTAGACTTTTGGACTTTGAGTGTTGAGTACATGCTCTCAAGAGTTCTGGTCATGGCCGGGTTTGGTGGCTCATGCCTGTAATCCCAGCACTTTGGGAGGCGGAGGTGGGTGGATCACCTGAAGTCAGTCAGAGTTTGAGACCAGTCTGGCCAACATGGTGAAACCCCGTCTCTACTAAAAATACAAAAATTAGCCAGGCGTGGTGTCATGTGCTTGTAGTCCCAGATACTCAGGAGGCTGAGGCATGAGAATCGCTTGAAGCAGGGAGGCAGAGGTTGTGGTGAGCCGAGATTTCGCCACTGCATACCTGAGTGACAGAGCGAGACTCTGTCTCAAAAAAAAAAAAAGTCCTGGTTACAGTTGATTTGGGATTTTAAAGGACGAGATAGAGCCTTTTAGGTCAAGGGCAGAATTACAGCCCAGCGTCTCTTCGTCACCTCCCCACACCTCTCAGCCCACACCCTCGCCAATTACTTCTGTGACTAAAGGTTTCCACTGAGAAGTTTCTCTCGAACTTCAGCATTATCCCACTTCAGCAGATCTGTCTCACAGCAAGAAAACGAAGCCCCCCTTCCTGCCTCCTGCCTTCCAGACCTCCAGCCTTTTCCTATCCCAGGTAACGTGGGGGTTGGGAGGAGACACCAGTCATAGCCCCTGTCAAGGCGGGCCTCGAGATGCACTCCCTACGTAGCAAAGGTCTGTTTCCCGAACGCATTCCGCACATGGGCTCCCACTCCTGTACCACCCCCACATGGCTGGAACCCATGAACAATCTTCTGAGTCTTGAGTCCTTCTCACAGGACACCAGAGCATCAAACGAGGACAGGCTCAAACCACCCATCAGCTGCCATGAGAATTCTGGAATCTTTCAACACCAGAATTGGTTCTGGTGAGGCTGGATTTATTTAATTACTTATCTGCTGACCTGTTTATTATTTCATTGTGGTAAAATAGATATGGCATAAAATGTACCATTTGAACCGATTTTAAGTGTGCAGTTCTGTGGTGTCACTACATTCATTGTGCAACCATCACCGCCATCCAGTTCCAGAGCTTTCTCCGCTTCCCCCACTGGAATTCTGTATCCCCTAAGCACTAACTCCCTCCCCTCCCCTCTCCCTGGTCCCTGGCAGACTGCCTTCTAATTTCTGTCTTTGTGGATTTGGCTCCTCTGAGTGATTCCTGGTGAAGGAAGGAAATTTGGGTTTGAAAATCTGTTCCCTGTATGTCCCTACCGATAGCGTCTTCTCCCAGAGAGGAGAATATTTGATCAGATTGTTCATTTTACCCAAGGGCAATCGTACAATTTCATTTATGCTTCACTTTTAAAGGGTAGACTATCTATGCTTACATATGAATGTAACATTTCTAGAAGAATACTTACATTTCTATCTTTCTCTTTTCTAGGGGATGGGACTGGGATGAAGATGGCAGGGGGCCTTTAAAAAATTTTTATTCTTCTATATTGTTTAGGAGACTTTTTTTTTTTTTTTTGAGACAGAGTCTTGCTCTGTCACCAGGCTGGGGTGCAGTGGCATAATCTCGGCTCACCGCAACCTCCGTCTCCCGGGTTCAGGCAATTCTCCTGCCTCAGCCTCCTGAGCAGCTGGGATTACAGGTGTGCATCACCACGCCCAGCTAATTTTTGTAGTTTTGGAAGAGATGGAGTTTCACCATGTTGGCCAGGCTGTCTCAAACTCCTTAAGTGATCTGCCCACCTCAGCCTTCCAAAGTGCTAGGATTACAGGTGTGAGCTACTGCACCTGGCTGGGATTGTGTGTGTGTGTGTGTGTGTGTGTGTGTGTGTGTGTGTGTGTTTTAAAGTATAAACATGCTATTTTGGCAATAAATAATTAAAAATTAAAAATAATTCTATGCTGGATTTTACTTCAAGCTGTAGGATTGGACTTGCCTAAATATTCTAGAGGAAATGCAATGATTACAGTAATTACTGTTCCGCCCTGCTCCTGCCCATAAAAGATTGAGAGTAACTCGAGGCTCCTTGCTGCCCCCTCTCTCTATTATGAGCCTTTCACGTAACAGAGAGGAACAGAAAAAGGCCAGGGCTGCAGGAGCCCATGGAGATCCTGAGCTGCTAATGAAATTATATGTGCTTGGAGCTGATAGCAAACACTAGCACTGAAACAGGGCAGGCAGCTGGGGGTTGCATCTGCACCCCAAGTTCCAAAGGGGCCAGACGAGGCTGTTCCCTGGCACCTTGCTTTTTCATCTTACAGCCTGGACCTGGAGGCACATAGGGCCTTCCCTTCCCTGTAGACTGAGCCACATAAGAGACCAGCAGAGGCTTCGGAACCACACCGCACAGCAGCCCAGTAACCTCAGTGGTGCTCAGCCAGGGCTGCTGTGTTTCCCACGAGGGCCATGCAGATTTTCTTCTATGAGTAAGTCAAAGTTGTGTCAGCACTTGGGAAAAGTCAACATGCTTTTTGAGATGAAATAAACAAAAAGGCTCACTACTCCCTACATTCACCCCCAAATCCTTTGAGCAGAAGCAGATGGTCCTCTGGTCTAGGTGAGGATTGTGAGACCTTGCCTCTCTCATATCAGAAGAAAAGTTGGCAGAGCTGATAGGGCAAAAAATGCCCATGGGGCAGGTGTGGAGCAGGTGTGGGGCAGGTGTGGGGCAGGTGTGGAGCAGGTGTGGGGCGGGTGTGGATGTGTGGGGCGGGTGTGGAGGTGAGGGCGGGTGTGGGGCAGGTATGGAGGTTTGGGGTGGGTGTGGAGGTGTGGGTGGGTGTGGGGTGGATGTGGAGGTGTGGGCATGTGTGGGGCGGATGTGAAGGTGTGCGGCAGGTGTGGAGGTAAGGGCAGGTGTGGAGGTGTGGGACGGGTGTGGAGATGTGGAGATGCGGGGCGGGTGTGGAGGTGGGGGCGGGTGTGGGGCAGGTGTGGAGGTGTGAGGCGGGTGTGGAGGTTTGGGGTGGGTGTGGGGTGGATGTGGAGGTGTGTGGCAGGTGTGGAGGTGAGGGTGGGTGTGGAGGTGTGGGGCGGGTGTGGAGATGTGGAGGTGTGGGGCGGGTGTGGAGGTGTAGGGGGTTGTGGGGTCAGTGTGGTGTGGGCCGGGGGTGGCCCAGGTGAGCGAAGCTGGATGGAAGCTGGGCATTCCACTGTCCGACGGGTGCCCCTGCTCCTCCCCACACACCTCACGCTGCAGGCAGCTGAGTGGGCACTGCAGTTCCACCTACACCACTCACTACCTCTCATCCATTTCTGCCGGGCCAGCCAAGCAGGCGTGTGTCCCCACTTAACCTCTAGGAAGGCGCAGCGTGGGGCTCACCCACGATCACACAGTAAACCAAGGCCAGCGCCGAGACCACCTTCTATACGCCCTTTAGACCCGTTCGGTGAATTCTAACGACTTCATCCAGGTTCTCTAGTTTCTGTCTGATCCTCAAATGAGAGCATGGCTTCCTGGTCCGCCTACACTGACTTCCTTTTCTGCTCTGCTGTTCATGATGGTCAGTGGAGAGTTGGCCACCGCGTTTCCATGTTGAAGAGCCTTTGTTATTCAACGTGATATCTATACAAGGTCTCGTGTGATGGATTCTTGACTGAGTTTAGGTCCAGGAAGTCCTCTTGCTGGTCCTCTTGCTGGAGAACACACCTGTTCAGCTTGGTTGCTCCCCGTCTTGGCCAGGAGCCCTGGTCACCAAGCCAAGGCTGGACCCCAGCTATCAGCCACCTCTGGGGCCCTGTAAGGCCTTCTTTCCTTTGAATGGCCTTTGTTCAGTTTGATCACTGAATGCTCTATCTTGAACTTCATTTTAACATGTACATCAGCTGCCCACAATCCCCTTGGAAGAAAGCTGGATATCAATCATGAGAAAAATAAGGCGGGGAGTGGTGGCTGATGCCTGTGATCCCAGCACTTTGGGAGGCCAATGAGGGCAGATCATCTGAGGTCAGGAGTTTGAGACCAGCCTGGCCAACATGGTGAAACTGTCTCTACTAAAAATACAAAAAATTAGCTGGGCATGGTGGCAGGCACCTGTAATCTCAGCTACTTGGGAGGCTGAGACAGGAGAATCGCTTGAACCCAGGAGATGAAAGTTTCAGTGAGCTGAGATTGTGCCATTGCACTCCCGCCTAGGTAACAAAGCAAGACTCTGTCTCAAAAAAAAAAAAAAAAAAAAAAAAAAAAAGAAAAAAAAAAGAAAAAGATTGGATGACCGTTTGTGTGAGGCTCCCAAGAAGATCAGGGCTGCACATCAGTTCGTAATGCTGGCATTGGGAGAGGGTGCCCAGAGCCTCTGAGTGACTGGCCTGCTTCCACAGCGAGATCCGAAACCCTGCGTGCTGGAGGACGAACCACACCACTGAAAGTTTCTGTATTTGCTTCTGGACTTGAACATTTGGACAATATCTGCAACTGCATTCTTTGTAATGCTTTTGTTTTGAAATACCATTTTGAGTGCTCGCTTTGGCAGCACATATACTACAATTGGAAGATTAGCATGGCCCCTGTGCAAGGATGAAATACCCTCAAATCATCTACATATTCTCTTTAAAAATGGTGAAAGGTATCTCCATATGGTTTATGTGATCTATTAATTCATAAAAGTGTTGAGTGGAATTTATCACATACGGTTAATGCTTTGTGCTGCTTCTGTTTCTAGCACCTGAAACCTGGCTGTTATTTCACTCTCTGTAAGGATCTGGGGACAGGAATTAAGGCATCCTCTCTATGGAGTGCCTTGTTTGGGAGAGTTTGAAAGCAGCACAATACTTGGTTCTACTCTCAAGGTACCCACAGGTTGGTGTGACCAGCTGGTTGATGTGTACATTAGTGAAACGTCATGGAGTGGCAGGCAGGTATCCAAGAATATAGCATGGAACATAGTGACAGCTCAAAGCTCTGGGGGGAAAGGCAGGGAGGACCAGGTGAGGTAAGCCTGATGCAGACGTCTGGTGGGGTGGTGAGGCTTTTTGCGGGGGTGAGTTGTGTTGAAGCTCCAGGATGGGACAGCTGGGGGTGTTGGATGGCAGGAAGGAGCTCCCAAGCCTCAGACAGTCCCCTACTGGAATGCCAGCTCCAAGATCGGTCAGGGACTTTTATCTATTTTATACACAGCCGATTTCCCAGTGCTTGGCACAGAGCAGATGCTCGATAAACAATTGCTGAATGAATGAATGAATGAATGAATGAATGAATGAACAGGCAGGGGAAATGGCAAAACTCAGCAAAGGCTAGGAGACCAAAGGGCTGGCTTGGGTTGGGGAGAAAGGCCTTGTTAAGAAAAGGTCAGTGAAGCTTTGAGAAGGTTGTTAACCTGTAGGAAAGCGGGCCAGATATCTGAGGTGCCCTTGGGGATACAAAGGAACCCAGGACTCAGGGGTTGCCTCCCAGAAACACATGTGGTAACTGATGGAGGAGGGCCCTGACCTGTGGGGTAGGGCAGGGGGCAGGGGTAGGGAGTGGAGGCTGGGGTGGGGGAGGGGGCTGCGGCATACCTGAAAGCTGGTGGGTACATCCTCAGCGTCTCTGCAATCACCATGTCCAGGTAGGGCAGGCCTTCCTCGAGGCTGCAGAACTCAGGGGCCGCCTAACAGAGGGGTCGTGAGGAAGGGAGAAGTTCGGGTTAGCCTGACTCTCACAGCATTTTGTCTTTTCCTTAAATTTCAATCTCGTTTCCAACTCTGGCAAATATTTAAACAGAAACGCCACAGAATGGAAAGTCGATACGACCCAAATTGCATCTGACTGGCCCTCAGGGTGTTCTGTTGTGCTTACATCTCATGGTGCCGGCCTGGGGCTCAGGGGTCTTTGAGGGTAATCCAGAGAAGTTCGGTTATAAACTGCAGCGGCTGCCACAGCTGCCAGCATTCACCGGGAGCTGATGCTGTGGCCGACCAAGTGCAGCAGAGGCTTATTTACTCCTCCACCAAGCCAGGGTGGCAGCTGCTTCCCATCGCTTAGATGAGAAACCTGAGGCTCGAAGAGCCTGTCACAGGGTACTCATTGCCAGATCATGAAGTTAAAAGGCAAATAGTGAAATAGCAAATAAAAAATTCGCAACATCTATAAAGGATTAACAGTAACAAAAAACCAAAGAGCTACTACCAATCAGTAGAAGACAACTAGCTAGAAAAATGGTCAAAGGATACGAACAGGCAAAACAGAAGAAATATGAATTACCATGATAAAAATTCAAGTTGGAATGAGATTCCATCTGCCCAAGTCAGCTTAGGAACAGTTGGAAAATAGTAGATTTCAGGGGTGCAGATGTGGGGGGATCCTAACACCCCCTGGGCGACTCTCCTGGAGTGACGCTCTGTCACTCCCTGGCTCTCCCTCCTTGGCCTGAAGATGGACACATGTGCCCATGCGCTCTTGAGCAGGGTGTGGGCGCGCCGGGGTGAAGGAAGCTTATTGCTGCTCTCCCCACACAGGTGGAATGAGTTATCTGGTTGTAGGTGATGGCCTCACTTTCTTCACCTAAGACAATGCTAATCCGGAAGGAGTCCCCAGTGTGGGGGATTGCTTTCTTCCTTTCCCTCTTTTTCCCTGAGCAGCAGGAGGCCGGCCTCCCGGGAAAGTCCATTCTGAAGCCACCACCTTTCCAGGAATGAGTGCCAGGAGGCCTAGTTCCTCCATCTGCAGGGGGAGCCCTTCACAACCCTGGAGCAGCCACTGACCCCCCTGCCTGGGACCTCAGCCAGTTCTCAAAGTTAGCTCCTGGGGTGGGCGGAGGTCAGCAGCTGAAGCAGCGCCACCTGGGAACTTATTAGAATTGCACGGCAGTTCAGAGGGGGCAGAAGGGCAGGGGCCAGGACAGGTGGATTCTTGAGGTCCATAGCCAGTATCTTAGCTAATCTATCATGGTATGGCCATTCAATAAAATGCAGCTGCTTAACAATGCCTGTAAATCAAGTTACAGAAATTATAGGTAGTTTGATTCCATGTCTGAGCCTGTTTATGAATTTAGAGGGCCAGGGTGGTATTCCTACTTTGTCATGAAAAGAACAAGTTCTGGTTGGTTTTCCCGAAGCGCTCTCATCTGCATTTCTGGGAAACTGTTCCTTTAGAAGGTTATCACTCAACCCCACACTTCCCACTCCCATCACAGGCCACTGGGGCAACTGGTTGAGCAAGTGACCTGTGAAAAGGACATTATGCATGGGGGTTAACGCTCTGTGGTTGTTGTCTGAGAGTCTTTATAACTTATCTTTTCTTTTTTTTTGAGTCGGAGTCTTGTTCTGTAACCCAGGCTTAAGTGTAGTGGTGTGATCTCGGCTCACTGCAACCTCCACCTCTCAGGTTCAAGCGATTCTCCTGCCTCAGCCTCCTGAGTAGCTGGGATTATAGGCATCTGCCACCATGCCTGGCAAACTTTTGTAGTTTTAGTAGAGATGGAGTTTCACCATGTTTGCCAAGCTGGTCTCAAACTCCAGCCTGCCTCAGCCTCCCAAAGTGCTGGGGTTACAGGCGTGGGCCACCAAACCCAGACATAACTTTATCTTTTTTTTTTTAAAGACAGAGTTTCACTATTGTTGCCCAGGCTCGAGTGCAATGGCGTGATCTTGCTTCACCCGAACCTCTGCCTCCCGGGTTTAAGCAATTCTCCTGCCTCAGCCTCCCAAGTAGCTGGGATTACAGGCACATACCACCATGCCTCGCTAAGTTTTTGTATTTTTAGTAGAGGCGGGGTTTCTCCATGTTGGTCAGGCTGGTCTCGAACTCCCGACCTCAGGTGATCTGCCTGCCTTGGCCTCCCAAAGTGCTGGGGTTGCAGGTGTGAGCCACCGTACCCGGACATAACTTTATCTTTGAATCTGTGCTTTGGAAGCCTGGCTCAGGCATTCCCCTTGCCCCCGCCACTGCCGTGGCTGCCTCCCACGACCAGCTCTCAGCCTCTTGTGCTCTCTGCCTGGCTTCCCCCTTTCTGCCCTGATGTTGCTGTCCACACTTCACAGGGTCCTGGCTACAGGCACAGAGAGGGCCAGGATAGGATGCATGCAACCCTGCAGCATCTTGGGTGGGCATGGTGGTGGCCGTCCTTGCCTTAGGCTGGCAGCACACAGTGTATGCGGAGGAGCTGGCCAGAGGCTGCATCTTGTTGGGGGTAAGCCTCTGCCCACTCCTGGCCCAGGCATTGAGTGTGTCATAGCACAGAGGTTTAGAGGTCCTTGGAAGTTAGTCTGCTGTGGCTGGCTGGGGAAGGCTGTGGGAAGGGGAGACATCTGGACTAACTTCCCTAGACTCTGCCTCCCTGGTTGGATCTCAGTCATCTGTCTGGTGGCTGACAGGGCCCTTGGACGCTTGGAAGGGTCTGGACTCCCTCTTCCTACTTCCAATCTTCATGAGTTTGGTTTGTGTTTGTCTCTTCTGGCCAAAACAAGTCACAAAACACCAATTGTGTAATTTCAGTGATTCTGCACATGAGTTAAAAGTGCTGAAATTTACATTTAAGTCTGGCATTGCTTGATATAAAGACGAATGGTAAAATGTTTGCTAATAATTTAAAATTTGGAGTTTACTTAGAACGACAGTAAATGGAAAATAAAAAGCACCATGACAAGTCAAAAAAAGAGGCTACAGAAGAAGTGAAGAAGCTTGCTGAGTACCACGACGGGCACTTCCCCCCGTTTTGGGAATAAACTATACCACACTTTCATTTCTCATCCGGCCTCACAGATCCTGTTGCCAGCCCCGCACGCCAAGATTGACTGGCCCAAGGGACCAGTCTGGAAATTTGGATCTGGGACAAAGAAAAAGAAGTTTTTCTCCAGCAGGCGGCAGTCAACACAGGGAAGTGGAGAGCCATTGTCAGCCACATTCCGCCTTGTGGATTGATGAGCAGCAAACACCAGGTGGCCTCAAGAGAGAAGAAATGAATCAGATATATGCCACAAAGCCGAGGCAAAGGACAGAGAGACCATTTCTTGGTGCCCCATCAGGTTCCAGTTCCTGTTTGCCATCTGTTCCTGGCAGGGAACCCTGTGGGTGGCATCTTGGTATCTTCCAACAAGTTCCCCCTTGTGGCTGAAGTTATCGATGTTCTGAATTCCGTTATATGCAACCAAATGAATCTTAACAAATGCAGGAGTATACATATATCAAATAAGAAACAGAGCTGCGGCACACCAAAGCAGAGAACCATAGCTCCAAAAGAGAAACGGATCTGGGAGCAGCACCCCTAATGGGTGCTGGTCCCCCAAAGAAAACTGTATGGCTTGTAGGCTTTCAGGGTTTGTAAAAGAAAGAAAACTTTTTGAGATAGGCTAAGGGAATTTTATGTTAGAAAATCAAAGTCTTTATTTACTCTTTCCCTAGATGGGCTTTTTTTTTTTTTTTTTTTATGCTTCTACCTTTTAGATCAAGATACACCTACACCTGTAGGCCAGGCATGGTGGTTCACGCCTGTAATCCCAGCACTTTGGGAGGCTGATGTGGGTGGATCACCTGAGGTCAGGAGTTTGAGACCAGCCTGGCCAACATGATGAAACCCCATCTCTACTAAAAGTACAAAAAATTAGCTGGGCATGGTGGTGGGTGCCTGTAGTCCCAGCTACTCTGGAGGCTGAGGCAGGAGAATCACTTGGACCTTGGAGGTGGAGGCTGCAGTGAGCTGAGATCATGCCACTGCACGCCAGTCTGGGCAACAAGAGTGAAACTCCATCTCTAAAAAAGATACACATGTAAAGATCTTCTTGGTTCAGCAGTTCTACATGTGGCTGTGTGTTAGAAGCAGCCAGATTTTTATATATCTTTAATATAGATGGATGCTTGGGCCCTACTCCCCAGTGCTGGTCTGAGGTGGGGCCTGGGTACCAGCTCTCCTTCTATAACCCCCTGTCCTAATGTGCAGTCAGGGCATCAGTCTGTCTGTCCGAGAACTACCCGAGCACTTCTCCACATTGGAGAAGTGGACAGATGAGGCAGAGAGATGCACACACCTTACGTGTTAGTCGAACCAGTGAGAAAACAAAACTCAAGTCATTACTGGCTGGTCCGCCCAGCTGTGGCTGGCTTTGCCTGCAGCTTTCAGGAACACAGCAGGGACAGAGCGGTCCTGAGCAAATCCTGCCAGCAGAGGGCAGCAAGCGCATGGTAAATGGGAACTTCCCATCCCGGGAAAGGACCTTGGAAATCCTCGCAGGATCCTTTGCGACAGAGAGGAGTAAGATGATGCCCAGAGAGGAACGCCTGTGAACCCAAAGACTCAACGCAGAACTTACTCTGAGTGTCCTCGTTCATTCACCAGTCCCTCAATGGGCACCTTGGATGGATTGGGTGCTGGACTGAGTGTTGGGGTCCAAGAAGGCTCTGCCCACTGGGGAAACAGATTCCCAAACAAATCATTACCTGGATGTGTAAAGTGTTATTGACTGGGCTTATGAGGAGTAGAAAACCAGTTCTGTTTGAGAGATCCTTCATTTACATACTCAGGGAATACATACGGAATTGGCGAGCATGATTCACCAGGCACTGTGCTAGACCCAGGAGATGTAACTTTAAAACGCATGGACATAACCCAGTCTCTTGGAGCTTCCAGTCAATCAGGATACAACCAAATGGATAAGAGTGAGATGGGAGAACAGA